TTTGGGTGCTGCACACCCCCCCCTCATGGCACAACCCCGTTTTTTGGGTGGTGCCCCCCAACCCCCCCTCCCCTCGCAGCCCCCCTGAGGCGCCCGAGACCATCGAGCTGGAGCTGCGGACGCTCAGCGCCCACGGGCTGCTGCTGTGGCACGGGATGGTGAGCTCGGGGTGACAGGGAGGGGTCCGAGGGGCTCCACCCCCTCAGGGCAGGGGGTCGGGGTGCCCCCACCCCGCTCACCCCCCTCCCTGTGCCCGCAGGAGCCCGGTGAGGGCGGCAAAGCCAAAGATTTCCTGGGACTGGGGCTGAAGGATGGGCACCTGGTGTTCAGGTGAGCGGGGCACCGGGGTGAGGGTACCTGTGCCCCCCGAGGTGCCCCCCGAGGTGCCCCCCAGGCTGACCCCACATCCCCCACAGTTACCAGCTGGGCAGTGGCGAGGCCACCATCGTCTCTGAGGATCCCATCAACGATGGCGAGTGGCACCGGGTGACAGTGACCAGGTGGGTGGGGTCAGGAGGGGCTGGGGGGCCCGGGTGTGGGTGGGGGTCAGGGTGGGGGTCAGGGTGGGGGTGCTGACGATGCCCCGCAGGGAGGGCCGGCGTGGACAGCTCCAGGTGGACGGGGAGGAGCCGGTGAGTGGGGAATCCCCCGGATCCAACATCATGGCCAACACCGAGGGCAACGTCTACGTGGGTATGTGGGACATGGGAGGGGGAACGTGGGGGGGACAGGGGAGGATGGGGGGACACGGGGACATGGGGGGGACATGGGGTGGGAGATGGGGTGGGACACCAAGTGGGACATAAGATGGGACCTGGGATGTTCACGGTGTGGAGATGGGATGGACATGGAATGAACATGGGGGGGACATGAGATGGGACAGGGGACAGGAGGTGGAACGGACATGGGGTGGATGTGAGATGGACAGTGGGGGGGGACATGGGTTGGGACACGAGATGGCCACAGGGCAGGATGCAGATATGGGGTGGGAAATGGGATGGACACGGAATGGGACACAGAATGGACATGGGGTGAGACACAGGGTGGGATGCAGGGAAACACATGGGAAATGGGACACAGAATGGACATGGGGTGGGACACTGTACGGGACATGGGATGTACATGGGATGACACATGGGATAGGACACCAGGTGGGACACGAGAAGGGACATGGGATGAACATGGGGTGGGACACGAGAAGGGACATGGGATGAACATGGGGTGGGACACTGTGTGGGACATGGGATGGACACGGGATAGGACACAGAGTGGGATGAGAGGGGACACAGGATGAACATGGAGTGGGACGCTGTGTGGGACACAGGATGCACATGGGTGGGGCACGGGATAAGGCCACTGCTGGGCCGTGGGCTGGCCGTGGGCAGTGCCCCGGGCCAGGACACGGCACAGCGCAGGGTGTGCCCCTCCCCACGTGCCCCCGTGTCCCCCCAGGCGGAGCCCCGGACCCCCGCGCCCTCACCGCGGGCAAGTTCAGCTCCGGGATCTCGGGCTGCGTGCGGGGGCTGGCGCTGGAATCCGCCGGGATCCCCCCCCACCCCATCGACCTGCGGCACGGCGCCGTGGGGGGGGCCCCCGTGCCCCCCTGCCCCTCATAACGCCCCCCTTGGGACACAGTTTGGGGGGAATTTGGCCGATTTTACTCTTTTCCAAAAAACGAAAAAAACAAAACCGCCAGGAGGAAACGGTGCTTCGCTGCCCCGGGGTGAGCCCGGGGGGGGGCCGGGACCCCCAAAAATGTTTACACCCCCCTCCCAGCGGCCCCCTCGAAGCTGTGCCGGGGCGGCCGGGCCGCCCGGGGGTCCCCCCGGGGTGGTGCGGGGGGGGGGCGCGAGGGACAATCGGGGTGCTGGGGGGACCCCCCCGCGGGGACAGCTATTAAAGGAGAGACAACCACTGCGGCTGCCGTGTCTGGGGGGGCTCTGTCGGGGGCCTGAGGGTGCGGGGGGGGGCTGGGAGGGGGAATGGGGGGGGGGGTGCAGGGGGATTGGGTTATGAGGGGTTGGTGTGGAAGGGGGGTGGAATTGGGGTGCAGGGGGGGATGGGGGTGTATGAGGGTCTGCGGTTGGTGTGGGGGTACGGGGGGATGGGATGGGGGGTGCAGGGGGATTGAGTTGTGGGGGCTGGTGTGGAAGGAGGATGGAGTTGGGGTGCGGGGGGGATAGGAGGGTGTGAGGGTCTGGGATGGTGGTGTGGGGTGAGGTGGGGGTACAGGGGGGATGATGTTGCGGGAGGGTTTGAGGGTGCTGTGGGGGTATAGGAGAAGTGTGGTATAGAGGGGGGATGGTGTGAGGGTCCGGCGCGGGGATAGTGGGAGGATTTTGGGGTGGGAGGTGTGGTATGGGGTGTGTATGGGGGCTCGGGGGGTTATGGAATAGGGGGTGTGGGGTGGGAGGGTTTTGGTTTTGGGGTGCAGGACAGGTGTAGTGCGGGGGAGGGATGGTATGGGGGTGGGGGGTTATGGTGGGGGGTAGAAGGTCTGTGGTGTGTGGTATTGGGTGCAGGGGTGGGGTACGGTATGGGGGTGCTGGGGTGTGGGGATTCAGGGAGTTATGGCATGGGGGGTTAGTATAGGGGTGTGGGGGTGGTATAGGGGTGTAGGGATGAGGTATAGGGGTGTAGGGATGAGGTACAGCGGTGCAGGGGATGGCAGGGTGGGGTGTGTGAGGGTTCGGGGGTGCTATGGTGTAGTCCGGGGGGTGGTATAGGGGTGCAGGAGATGAGGCATAGGAGGGTAGGGTATGGAAGGGGGAGTGTGGGGGGGTTCGGGGTGCAGGGGGAGGTAATGTAAGGGTGTAAGGGGTGGGGGGTGTACGGGCGTTCGAGGTGCTATGGTACAGTCCGGGCGGTGGCACAGACTTGCTGGGAGTGTGTCGGGGGGCAAAGGAACTATCGTTTCTGCTCGGAGGGTGTTCCCGAGGGTCCCGGGCTGCACGGCCCGGCGGGCGGGTGGGCGGGCAGTAGGACAGGCCACACCCCCGTGAGGCAAAGCCCCTCCCCTTGTCGCACAAGCCCCGCCCCTTGTGTACAAGCCCCGCCCCCGACGCTCACGAGCCCGTTCCTTGAGGTGCACAAGCCCCGCCCACAGCGAGCAACCCCCCGCCCCTCGTGCCCAAGCCCCGCCCA